AACCAAATAAGTTGGCGAGTGAAAACACTCTCTGATTATGTCTGATCCATTGGTCTTTGTCTATGGAGTCACATCTAAGGGAATCAGCTGCTCACTTGACAAGTGGGTATAATTGTCGGTAATGTGCACAAGTTGTTGAAAAACATATTCCAGGAATTTGTGAGTTAAATGTTGAAAGAGTATTAATCGAACATGAACAACCCAGCCCTTGAGTTTCCTTGCGTATCAATGGTTCATGTTCCACTGGCCCACGTTGGCACCTCCTCGTCGTGAGGAACCAAGAAGCCATCCAACCTCAGTCCCCAAGCGACAATTCTACTCTCCAAAGGTTAAGCAGCATCTTTGATATATATATGGGGGTTGTCCAACAAAGCTCTTCTTTTTGAGCTTGTATCGCCGGCCTTTCGCGACCCTTTCGCGTTTGCAGAAAAACCACAGGTTTTCCTTTCGCGCATTGTGATGAGCTTGTTCCATTGCACTGAGTTCACAGTGTTTGGACATCTAAATCCCTTTTAGTGCGCTGAGAAGCAGGCTAATTACCCTTTGTCAATTCATACTTGAAACAAAGGTTTCAAGGCTTATTTCAAGGCCATGGATGGGCAAATGCCCTTCCAGGCAATGCGCTCTTTCGCGGGCCTACCGCCGGCCTTTCGCAGCCCTTTCGCGAAAATCCGTGTTTCTGTTCGGGAAAAAGGATGTGTCATGTATTATGCACATTGTATGTAAGTCTAGGTTGGCACATGTCTTTCGCTGTCCTATCGCCGGCCTTTCGCGGACTGCAGTTTCCCTTTCGCGACATGTTTGTTTTAACAGTTGATCGAAATTCCTTCACTGGCAATAACGGACGGCCCTCATATAAATATAAAATGTTTATTGAACTGGTGAAAACTTAAATACACCCATTTTTTGTATAGCCATGTGTTTTTTACACCTGGGTTTCGGGATGGAAGCTGGCGAGAGACACACCCAAATTTGAGCCCGCATGGATGCGTTACAACAAAATACATGTTTTTTGTATAGAATAACTCGAAAGTAGTCGTGATATAGGACGCCGACTGTATTCAGGTTTTTTGAGCATCAAATCCTTTTCAACGGACTTATTCTCAATCACTCTTCGCGCGCTGTACCAGCAGGAAATGGGGACCACAAATGGAGGAAACTTGGGAACAAAAACCTCAACAATTATTTTTGGTTGGGAGATGACCAGGCAAACATCCATCCGCACTATACAACATTAGGAAATGTAGAAATGCAATTTTCTATCTAGACCAATAGTTGCAAATTGATGCAAATTGTAAGAAAACAACGTGGTTTATACATCACACGCGAGAATCGAACAAAAGGAGAAGACAACTTATCCAGTCCAAAGATTAACTCCGGGTGGAAAAACAAACATAATTTCCAAACAAAATTACCGAAGGACCAAACACAACCATAATGTTAACAAAAATGATGAGGATCCATAACATTCCATTCCCAATGGTCTGCACCATGTTTGGTGTCCTTGCACTGTTTCGCAATTTGGTTTTATCCGTCTAGAACTCTATGACAATACAGCAACGTCATTTGATACACATTTTTCCGAACGCGGTTTCTCGTTATAATTCTTCTGTTGCACAACCCTTTCTTCAGCCAAGGTACAGGATCTGGGGCGGCTCCGCGTTCCCACCGTGGAGGTTCAATTCTGGCAGGTGGCAGCCAAGTTTGTCAGTGTGCACCCACCGGTGGTCCTACTGTGGATGGGACCTTGACAAAACCTTGTACGTTTCAACTTTTACACGACGTATATCAACGTAGCACGGCATAGAAACGCCAGCGCTGTTTTCTTAAGTTCAATGTTTCAGGATGAACCAAGAAGAAGGGGTTTGACCCATTAAACTAACCAGTGGTCATCTTTGTTTCCCAGTGTTAATGAACCAGGGCGCATATTAGTTTTTCATGAACTACGGCCAGAAGGCCCGTGCAAAGACTTGGTTGCGTTCAGGTGACCACAGATAAGGGGGCAAAAGGGTTGAAACTCAAAGACACCAATGCTGGCATTCCACATGAATAAAATATATCTCGAATAAAAAAACATATATATATATATATTCGTATATATTTGTATTTATCATCCATATATATATATATATCATCCAGACTCCCCTGGTGGGTCTTACATGATGGCAGATTTGCTAGCAGGTGGGCATTGTAAACCATTCACCACATGAGACCCCGCTACAACCTGAAACCAGGATCATGTGTGCCTGCTTGCCGTCCCCACAGGCCTAGGAGTCTTGCAGCGTGCCCAGCGAAGTCCTTGACGGTCAAGACGCTGTCAGGCACATGGACCATGCACCTCAGTGGACTGCCGCCTCTGGGCCACAAGGGCCCTCGAGGATTGATGTCGCATGGCGGTGCCGGTTGACAATGTCCGGCCCTTGATTTTGTGGAGGTCCGGGCTTTGAATTAACAACACGGCGCTGCTCATCATGCTGATAGTGCTTTTTCGGCGCAAAGAGCAATACATACATCGCCCCAAAAAACCATGTGTTGCGCCGCTGCTGCTTAATCTGGCTAGTCCCGACCTCCTTGCAGCCAGACAAGATTCTGAGACTAACACTTCCTTGCGTAAAACAAGTTCAGGACGCTGGGAGCGTGCGCCTGGAGCGCCGTGTCTTGCAGCAAAAGGATTCTTGGTGTTTTGTGCCTTCGCCGTTCATTGAACGAGACTCTTCCATGGGAGTCAAGCTGCCACAACTCTGCAATCTGACAGCGGATCGACGCTGAAACGTGGAGAAACTTGACATAAGCGGGTCTGTTTGAAAGTCCCTTGGGTTTGCTCAAGGTTTAGAGGGCTTAGCACACTGGCTGTCAGAGTGCTATCTCTGTTGTATGTCTGAGCTATGTGCATGCCATGTCACATGTATCTCCTTATATGTCTGCTATGTTCGTAGCTAACTCACAACCACAGATTGTAAACGGTGGCTGCGATAGCTAATACATAGCTACGTGTTAGCTAAGTGTTAGCTGCTCAAGTTACCATGTTGCTACCCCTTCACTATGCACTTACTATGTGGATAGTTATGTGGGTGCTAAACACATAGGGCAGGGAGATGCTAAGTACTTAGCTATCAATATTCAAACTATTTAGCTGTACTGATTATTGTTTTTCTTTTGGTTTTATACTTGTTGCATTGCTTTCGTGCAAGCAGCAAGTTTTGGACAGCTAAAACTTATATTGCTTGGAACAGTTTTGTGGTTCACGAAATCGAGCACCGGAGCACTTCACCATCCCCAATACATTATTGCTAAAGCAAAGACAACTCAGGTAGCGTAACCGCTACCTTTCGTGACTTTATGAAGAACATTTAGAGAACGCGATGCACGCTTTTCTACTATATAGAACCTAGTTTTACTTGACCCGTAAAAACAATATAAAACAATAGTGTTCATATGTCGTTCTATGTTTGGAAGGGAATCAAAGGCAATTTTGAATGAAATCAAAGGTGTTCTTAGTGCTTTTGAGGCTCCTGATTCGACATTAAGAGCAAACAGAAATGAACCATGGGGCAATTATTTTGCGTAACAGGAGTGTAACAGTTCCGTAACAACCTCCTCCCGGAGACTTCTAAAACAGCAAATGACCTTCTAAAACCGTAACAGGAGCGTGACTGGAGCATAGCAGGTCCCCAGTCACCAGTCCCTATTTATATGAAATTTCTATGTGTTTTTGCAACTTTTGATAGTATTGTCGCATGAACTTAAACTGTTGGTCCATTTTTGCAGGATCTATGTCCCACCAGCGTGGTGATGTTAAACTTGCTTGGATCAAAGGGCATGGGCTCCGACAAACAGGTACGCGTTTAACTTGCACTTCGGACTTGCAAGGCATTGCTTTCTCAAAAAAAGTCCAACCAAGCCTTCCAAAAAAAGCACGTCCCACCAGAGCTTTCTCCACGAAAAACTCCAAGGCTTTCTCACTGCGTTTCTTCTTCTCCAAGTGACCATTGCAGGTCGCCCAGCCTCGCACGCCGCTTTCCGCCGCACGCTACACACATCAACTCGACCGCCGTCACCCCGAGTCTACTCCCCTCGGTCCCCTTGGTCGAACCGGTCTTCGAAGGGACTCGCGGCACGTGGACCTTCAGTCGGACCATGTCACAATCGGATCGATCGGTGGATGACGGATGGACCGACCCTCGTGTGAAGTTGGGATCTGGTGCTGACTGCTTGAATTTGTCTTCTTCGTGCGCACATGCGGAGCGAGCGAAAGTTCCGGGGTTTCGGGGTTCCGCACGGCTTTCAGAAAAGGAAGAACACAGGCCTGTGTTGGTTTTTTTCAGATCTTCAGGCCTGAAGTCTCCCGCACAACCTTCATCAACCTTCCCATGCACCAAACACCAAGGTGCTTGTAAGCAGAACTACAGCGCAGGCGCAAGCGCATGGCGGCGGAAAGCGGCGTGTGTTTTTTCCGACGCGCGTTTTCTGCGTTCGGTGCGTTCTGCGCTGCACCGAAGAAGTGGGTCTTGGATGGGCATGAGTCTGTTCCTTTCTTGGGTTTTCCCCGTGCTTGCCTGCTAGCAGCAGTGTTTTTGTCGAAGACACGCCGCTTTTCTTTTTTCGGCAGCAGGTTGCACCTCGTAATCGGTTGCACGATTCCTTTCAGGACTTGAGGGTCAAAGTGGAAGAACTGTGCGTCTGCTGAAAGTCATACACCAAAAACAACTGCACTGCATAACTGCATAGGACTCAATGTTTTGACACAAAAACCAGAGCTTGATGTCCTTTGCTACATGTGTCCTTTGATGTTGTCTTGCATTCTCATCCAATGTGGTTGAAATCTGATCAAAGCTGAATGCACGGACACGGACAGGCATACTGCTCCCTGCAATGAGGGTCAGGGAGGCGGCATCCACTTCATCAGAAGCATTGAAACTGATGAGTCTTCTATCCAAGCCCCAAATGCATATTCTACAAGGATATCCTCTAAGCCTCCTTCGCCCTCGCACTCGCTTTTGCTTCCTCACTGGCTGGGTCCACTTCGCAGGACGGTCCGGTCTCACTCGGGCTCAAGACCCAGCAACCTGGAAGAGAGGATCCAAAAAAGGACGTTTTGAGAGGAGAATCCAAATACCAGGAGAAAATCCAGAAACCAACAACTTCCTAAGTACTTTGAGATCTCCCCAAGAAATATTTACCAGGACCATCCTAGCAAGGAGTCCCCAATAGACCAAACACTATACACTAACTTGTGGGCTTCCATTGGACACCCTTTCGATGGTCGGTTCTGGTCTGCTTCGGAAGAACGCCGAAGAATCGGTAGCTTCAGGACGGTGGTCCCAACCGCGTTTGGAGAGCGCTCTCGAGATCGACGGGGACGACCGAAAAACCTGGTTGAGAGACTACTGAAAAGCTGTGTTGGATATCAACGATAAAACACCTGATTACCTGACTGATTTGTCTTGTTCACAAGTGGAGAGGGCCGACACCCGAATGAAGGTCAGTTGCAGCTCGACTGAGGTCGAGCTGTACCCAGTTGGAGTCAGTTGGGAACTCTGAAGAAACCCCCACTGTGCTTTGTGAGAATAGACTGCATGGAATATCAAAAACATGTCTACAAGTCTTTGAAACCCCTCTGGTAGATTCTGGTAGCACTGGAATAGTGACATCCAATGCGAGTCACTGTGCTGACAGTATGACACTGTATGAGGGTGAGTGAGTACTGGATCTTGAGCTATATAGTAATGCTTTCACAATCATATATGATATACCTCCAAAGAAATCTGCATAAATCTGCTAAACTCCTGGGATTTTTGGATTCCGAAATGATCAACATATCAGTTGATCCAAGGAACTACACTCATCCCAGGTCTCCAAATGCCTTACTTGGAGCTTTGCGAGCTCCACCAGGACTCGCAAGTGTGCGATGGGACGCGTCACGTCAAAGCGACCCTCCTTGCCTTGACGTGACGCGGCAGAAATCACGTAAAGCGGGGGAGTCGAGAAAGCAACATGAAAAACAATGCACATGAAATAAACAATGAAAAACCAAGCAGGAGTTATCTTTGTTCCTCTGTGTGTTCTTTTGTTGATTGTTTTTGATTCTCCCAGCTCGGATGAGAGGTCCGGCGATTTGAAAGAGGTTTGTAGGGTATAGAAGCAGCTGACAGGAATACCTGATGCACAGCATATGGACCTTCAAACCCCAGGTGGTCACCAAAGACTTAGAGGGTTGATGTCAATCATGCAGCATACTGATAGTTTTCGGTCTACAAAGACGCTACAAAAGCTGAAATTGGTGGAACAGGTGCCCATTTCTTCTCCTCCCTCAGCCGATGCTCAAAGACCCAGGTGGGAGTGAGTCTGTCTCGGGTATCAACAATGATCAAAACATAAAAAATATTGACATGTAATATAAATACAATGATCGAACATTGAAGTTTAAACACCTCCATTCAATGGCCAAACGTAATGATGTCACAAGTGTGATTATCATGCCAGTTTCAAGCTTTGATTGAGTCTTATCCAAACCTCAAAGCAGGATCTTCTTTATCAAAGGAGCTGCCACTAATTATGTTACTAGAACACATAGAATCTGGAATAGCCTGCGGGTGGTCAGTCGCAAAAAATAAGCTACAAGAACGCATTCAAGACTTCCGCCTTCCGCCACTAAAGCCTTCCGCGAGTGCACTGGTGGTGGGACCGGTGTGGCTTCAAGGACGGAGTGGTTCTTCCCTCCACTGAAGGCAAAGAAGTCTGGCAATCGCAAATTCAGATGTGATGCAACATGCGTGTTTTGTGAACTGCCTGTAGATCCCTATACAGTTCCCTGTCTCAAAAGAAACTGTTCATACCCCCTCCTTTGCGACAGACACCCGACAGACCACGAAAATCCAGCACACATTCACGACGGCAAGCCTGGCGTATCCATCTGGAAGCACTCCTCTCTGCTGTAAACTGGGCGATTCTCCTTCAGCACAATGACGCCGGACGTGGACAAACAACACGACAATCCTCAGTTGGACACTGCTAAGAGATGTAGATATCCAGAAAGACATATCTGTCAAACCTGACCCAACCCAAAATGAACAAAACGCAATGCATGTGATGCTAATACTGTCTGTTTGCATTTCCAGCATCTGAGCTTCCAACTAACAAGAATTGGCGTGCCTTTTCTGCGTATGGAACCAAACCATGGTGGGTTTCCCAAGTGGCATCGTTTGATCCAAGCCCTTCCCCCGCAGACCATCAGTGCAGTGAATGAGGATCGCTGAAGCAGCTGCACCACATCCTGGTCAATGAGGTACTGCAAAGTCCACCTGAGCTGAGTTGAGTCTTCGGGTACTCTGAAATGCAAAAACGGCAAGGCTTTACAGAAGCTCCAGCTGAAAGAAGCAGACTTCATGTCATTGCCGAGCTTGCCGCAAGCTTCATGTCATTGAGAGAGCGGAGAGAGTGGACAGAACCCCATTGTGAGACGCGTCACCTTGTTGATTCTCTGTGCGAAGCTCCTTAAAGTCTACACGATCACTAACCGATTCAAGCTGGAATTCCAGTTTTGCCCAACGTGATCTGCCCCGAGTTATTCTCATTCAAGTCGCAGGTGGGTTGAATGGACCTTCTAAAGCACATTTTAGAGAGGCTTCCGAAAATCGAATGCAAAACAAGTGAAGGCGGGTCTAACAAGTTGCCTTGAGTATGTCCAACAGGATTCCAGTCGCAGTCGGTGCCCTTGCATTTGACTCGAATGAACCCTGTTCCACCTGGTGCCAAGTGTGATCTTTGTGAGAACATGATATTATGAGATCTTCAACGAAGAACACACCACGCCGCACTTCCAAGTGCTAAGCAGCCGAATGCATGTCCAAGTGCCGGTGCCCGAGGTAAGACCTCTCTTCGGATGTTGGATTCTACTGAACACCTGTTGAACAAATTGTTGAACTTACATTACATTTACACTTACATTTACGTTTACATTCCTACATCAAAGGAACACATTCATACATACATACACGCACACATGCATCATAACATAACATACCGCTGCATTACATTACATTACATTGCATTGCATTGCATTACATTGCATACAAACATACATGCATCCATCCATACATCCAGTCCATACATCACATCACAACACTTTGGACATCCAGGTGTGTGTGTGTGTGTGCGTGCTTTGCCCAGCCACTGAATCCAAATCAAGTCCCACATGTCGTCCGGCTCATAAGCTTCCAGTTTGCTGTGGATGAATGCGCAGCGCGAAGCCGCCTAAGTCGTGGGCGCATGGATCTCCACATGGATCTCACATGTCCAAGCAAAACCCCACAAGAACATCTCTTCATCCTTCGAGCCATGCAGGTGAAAATCTGACGCAGCCAGCCTGGAAGTTGGAACCCCAACAAACAATTGAACAAGTGTGCCACACTCAACTTCTGTGAGTTGCCCCCTCTTCGCACCGACCTGATGGCCAAACGTCCGAGTTGGCTAATTCCCATCTGCACGGCACCAGTGTCTTTGAGCTTTGAACCAAAGATCCATCTCAGTTGCCATCCAGACTATCACTCAGCTCACCTGGGGGCCCATCCAGAGTGTTGTACTCCCTCAAAACTGATGCGAAACGCTACGCTGGCGTAGCACATTGGAAAACCTTTTCTGGTCGCCAGCATTATGCTCTCAACTCTCAAGCTCTACTTGCTGCTCAGTATATGCAGCCGAAGGCGCCTCTTCGCCCAAGTATGCCTTGGCGGTTTTCAGCCATTTGGCCTCATCGCCAGTGTGTGGTTGTGGTAGAATCTGCTTGGGGCTGAGGGCTGATCAGGTGATGCCAGGAGCCAAGGAGGTAGACCAGTTAAATGAAGAATGAAACACTGATGCGAGGACTGTGAGTGAAGGTTTGGGTCTAGGAGTCTAGCCAAGTCCAACGAACATGTGCCAATTGACGAACTTCGGGCCACAGAAACAGGTCAAGAAAACACCACAAATAAAGGCAGTCTCTGACTGGCCATACATGTTACACTAGGAGTGAAGTTCTGTCATATATTCTTTCACTAGATAGAGTTGATCCTTTGAGCCAATGCTAAGCTTTCCAGATTTCCAATGGCAGTACTGAAAAACACAGTGCTTTCAGTAACGGTTAGCCTAAGTAACGGTCTGTTTGGACCATTCCCATAAATAAACCACCAGACCATATCCCACCCAACCCATCCACCAAATTCTCATATCCACGAAACCCGACGAGTTCCTCTGAGAGTTCCCCCTCTCCGACCTCTCCCAACGAGTTCTATCGCCCAGTGGCCGACTGATCCACCAGCGTGACTCGTCCAGTCACCACCTTCAGAAGCAGCTGCTTGGTCACCCGGCCCAAGCCGCTGCCCAGGTCCAGCGCGCTGCCGGGCCGAGGCAAACCTGTGCAATTGTTGCGAAGACAAATCGTGTGTGACTGACCATCATCGCTATACTAGTAGCTTCTTGTTGCTAGTAGCGATACGCTTCTTACTAGTAACGATGCACTTGTTACTAGCAACATCCTAGACTTGAGAACTTTTGTTGGGGGGATTATAACTTCAGCTGCAGGAACAACATGGAACAACATGAGTGTGCAAAAATGACCATTAAAAAACTGCGAAAACCTGACCTGCTCACTGCATCTACAAGGTGCTTCAAAGGGCATGGGAATGCCACATAATCAATTTTGCCCATGTCCACAGACCACCCATGGCTCAAATCTGAACGAGATCCAGCTTCAAAGCTCACAGTTAAAAACAACTCAGTCCACGGCGCACGGACAACTCGGATGCACCGAACACTGCACATGGCTGCACCGAACCAAACCACTCACCACCGGCTCCACGCGCATCGATCCCCGCCTCACCCGTCTTCGGTCACCCGGATCCGGCGCATCGAGTGATCCGGCCTTCGAGGGCCGTCTGCAGCAGCGCCTCCGAGTGGCGCAGGTCCTCCTCGCTGCCGTCGTCGCCGATCATGGCGCCCTCCGGCGTGGCACGGCCTCGCGGTGTGGGGAGAAGGTGGAATGGCCGTAGTCAGGAAATCCGTGGGGCGAACGGGGGCGAACGTTGTTGGAATGGTGATCATGCTTGCAAGTTATAGAGCCGTTATGGAGCCCATAATCATGCAACCTTCCTAATCATCGGACAGCTCTTGTTCACCAACATAGAAGGTCTGTCATGGCGGAATTCTGCCGGTGCTGTTGGCAACGGATAAAGCCCGCACCAAGAAGCCTAATATAGCCTAATACATATATTTATGTTAGAATTCCAAATATTTTTCCAATCTGAAGCCTTCACACATCTTCACACACTCGCACAAAACTCCACACATACCTTTTTTGAAAGCAGGTTTGATGGACATATCGACTGCATTGTTGTTCATGCCGATGGTCGACGATTTACCACCAAACACATCCACTGTCGCCACTGGTTCCAGGAAAGAACTCTGTCTGAACGATCTCCCAGCTCGATCGAATGTCGAACGGATACAAGTTGTGAGTTTGGGCCTTCATAGCCTTCCACCCACCACGCTTCGTTCACATGATAGAACTTCTCGCGTTGCTGGCCTTGCACCTCAAGGAATTGCTTCAACTTCAGCTTCAAAGGTTGATGCTATTCAAATTCACTGGATTGCTATACGGTGCTCCCAAAAAATACCAAAACTAATGATACCAATACAAACTTAATTACAAGCTGTACTATTAAAGACGTCCTATAGGTTCTGTATAATTACGCTTAGAACTCTCATAATATCTCATAATATAAATATATAACATAATATATATATATATACGTAATTACAGTTCTTTTAATATCTTTGGGAACTTAGTACGTTCCAGCGGGGCAACATATAACCCATGATCATCCAACACAGTCGAGGTGTCCAACACAAATCGCCCTGAAAGGGCTTGGGATTCCGTTTCTCCCGAAGCGCTCGCTATTACCTCGTTGTTCACCTCGGACTCCGACTCGTACAGAACAACACCAGCCTTCGCAAGGCCAACGTCGAAAGCTCTTTGGGGGCGCATCTCTTCCAAACATGGACTAACAAACCTGCAAAGCAAGGATTAGTTCAGCCATGCCAAGTAGCCTAATTAGTGCCTTCAAAGGATGGTGCCAGTTCACGTGGAGAGTCAAGCAGAGTCAAGGTCGCTTGTGAGTAAAGGCTGGTTCCTAGGCACTGGAGTCTTGGCTTTGAATCGAGAAGTTCCACTTGGAACGAAAAAGTCACCACTAATCAAAGTCTTGGGATGCGCATCTTGAGTCTTGGGTTAGAATCGAAAGAAGTCATCCCAACTTGGTGCTGCCACGTGGGCCACGTGGAGAGACCCTCATTGCGCACACCCTCCGAGACCCGCACAGAACCTCAAAGCCGAACCTCTCTTGAGGAATGGCTTCTCTCAAATGTCGAACCCAAAGCACATGAAACTGCACTCCTTCAATGAAGTCGAACGACTGGAAATCAAACACTCAATCATTTGGAAACTTCAGGGGCTATTTTGGCGGAGCCAAAACAGAACCTTGTACTTTGCAAGCTGGCTTTGAATTTGGCTCAAGCCAAAAAGGACATTAGCAACAATTACAGTATTATTGTTAAGCTTCAAACTGTTTAGCGACTATACTGTATATATTATATATTGCAGTGGTGACCCCTTCAAGAAGTCCCTTTTTGAAAGCAAAATAATCAGTTGCTGTAAGAACATGGTAGCCAAAAGAAGTCTGTGCGCGGCACCGCACTCGGCCAGTTCTTGAGATCCGGCGAGGCACCAGCCAAAGTTCCCATAGGTTCCTCATCTGCCAAGGGTCACCCGGTTGTCCTGGAGTCTATTTGTCTCGAGTCTTTTCAGTTAGGTCAAACGAAGTCAACAGCGTCGCCCGAGTCATGTCGACCTATCATCGAAGACGTGTCTTCTTATGTTTCTTCCTTGAGTTAGGAAACCAAGGTTTCGATGTAGACCGTATGTAGAATGCTTGGTGCAATATATAGTGGGGGTGTTGGCTGAGTGCGTTCTCCCACAAGAGATCAGCAAACAAGAAGAGGAGATTCTCAGAATCACTTCTAGGAGAAATCTAGGGTCTGAAGGGGTTCCACAGCTACGTGGATAGACTGGTTCCCGACTCCGTACATGTCCGTACTCTCCCCATGTCACTCGGGGGGTAAGGTCGTCCTAATTTCAACTTGGCAAAAAGAGAGTAACAACTACATCCTAGGGAGAATGACCTCATAGTTTTGCGAAACATGTTCCTCCGAGATACCGAGTGTCAGTTTCGCCGCATCCTCTGTTCATATTCGTCTTGAAACTGGCCCCCCTTTCGTCCCGTCCCCTGGAAACCTTGGGACGGTGTACGTATTTCACATAGTTGTTGTGGCAAGTTCCAGTCGTGGACACAGTACATGCCCAAATTGCTGAACAAACATGTCCTCGCAAAGCATGTCAAAACCAACAACCTTAGCCAGTTTGCTAGCTTCTCAAGGGTGCCGTGTGACCTGCGCCAAGACCAACCAAAATCACCCTGATAACTCAGAGGCTCGGGTACTCTCGTCCCTGATCATCAAAACCAGAGATGTCCTTAGCACACTCAGATCCAAAGCCGTGCGGGCTCCGCGTCGCGTAGGTGACACGCGAAGAAGGGTGACGAAACAGAGTTTCCAGAGGTGGTGTTGAACTTGTCCAACAATACACTGGCCGCAGAGAATTCCAAAGTCACCATATCTAGCCCCAACACTTGCTGCAGCCAAATCTCTTCACTTTAGCCATCTATTCAGCGTTACCAGCCCCTACTTCCTTCGCCCCGTGCCCGAGCCCTTCTCCAGCTGCAGCGTCTTGACCCAAGCGTTTCAGCTGCGCCGTGAGGGATTCCTTTGGCGTCACCAAGGGACGTTTCACTCTCCTTAGAGTTCCGGTTGCAGGGTGTGAACAGGAGTCTAGGGTCGTGTGAAAAGGACTGGCCCTCCTGAGCCAAACTGAATTCATTGGAAATTGGATGGAAAAACTTGGGAAGTACAAGGACGCACTCCCTCCGCTGCAGTGGTGTTCCGGTCATGTGCCAGTTTGTATGAAGAAACCCTCCAATATCCCAAACCCATCCGCCCTGGATGGTTATGGAGTTTGAGGGGCGTTGTACGTGTCCCAAGGATCTTCTGAAGGGCGATCAACGATGGAAGCAATGACACAAAAAAATGTGCAAGCCTGAGAAGCTGCAAAACGAAAGCCAGCGCTTCCCTTTCTCGGTCTTGTTCTGCCCACACATAGGTAACCATGCAAAAGCAAAAAATGCACTCTTGCATCACCACCCGCTCCAAAATCACTAAAACATCACCTCCAAGAGTTTACGTATACCTTTCTCGGGCCACCCCCACCGAGCCCCGACCGACTTCACACATAGATAATTTCAGCCACATTCAGATGAAGCAAAAGCCAAACAATGCACCAAAATTCGAGGTGGCCTGGGACCAGAGGCTTGCTGCCCGAAACTATATGTGCAGGCCACCTCAAAAATGAAGATCTGCGAAGCAAGGGTCCTGAGGTGTCTCTGTGACAAGGCTGTTGTTAAAACAGACAGTTTTTCAAGCTAAATTCAAGGTGGCCTGAGACCAGGGTTTGCTGCCCTAAAACACTCTGTTCAGGCCACCTTAAAAATGAAGGTCTGCGAAGCGAGAGCAGAGGATGCACATTGTCCTTCTGAATGTGGCCTTTTGTTTACTTAAAAGTTCAAGACCTCACAGCTGTTTCCACCTCTTCGCTTCCCAGTCTTCCCAGGGTTCATATAGGGAGCCAGGCCATTTTCAGAATCTTCTGGATTTGAGCTGTTCGAGTTCCTATTGAAGGGTATAGTCGGCGAGTGCGTCACCACCCGCTCCAAAAGCATCAAAGCATCACCCCCCAGAGTTTACGTATATCTTTCTCGAGCCACACATGCACAGCAAACCACAGCTTTGAAGTCTCATTCGTGCTTTGAACTTGTATAGGTGTGTAAGAGGTATAGCAACATAGCATTTATACGGACCCAGGGTAGCTACAATTCTGTTCCCAGGTATCGCGCGCATGAGGCTTCAAA